TACAGAGTCACGGACTTTTATTTCCTATCCATTTCAAAGCAATGTTATTTACGACTTTCGAAGCAATTGTATCCAACACTTGTCATTGTTATTTATAAATTATAGCACTTATATGAACAATTGACTGTACGCTTTTCGTTATTGAGTGGGAATAGAATTTAATTCTTACAATGTACAGTTCGCTGAAATCACAATGTTCGGAAAGATAAGAGAATCGATTTTGAAATGTGAGTTAAATCGCTTGAACACGCCAACCGAAGCTCATCTGAATATTTCCTTATATTCACTCGATTTGTCGATTCTTCATAATGGATTTATACGAACAAATATAGAAATAATATTATTTTGAAATCGCATATGTTAAGACATGGTTCCAAAAGTATATGAATTTTATATTTCAGAGAATAATCTCTCTTTATTATTTTTTTATATTGTTGATCACTGCTACATTAAAAAAATATTTATTTACAAGTATACATTAAATTAGCAATATTTTTCATAGGGCGATGTTTATACGAAAAGCAAAGTAAGACTTACGTCATATCGTTCAGAAATCTTATTCTATTTTTTTAATTCATTAGACGACTATATTGAAATTTTATGTTATATTAACAAGCAATTTTATTACAGGTTGTACTCAGCCCTCTAACCTTCTCTAAGCTTGTTTGAAATATGGATCGTATTTCAACTTAATGTGCGTAATAAAATTTTTCAAGAAAATAATTCCTTTTCAGTAGAGAACTCGAAATTGCTTGTTAATAGCTTGTAATGAAAGTTCATTAGATTTCTTTGGTTTAAGATATTTTGTCATGGGTTTGTTTTTCACATTATTCTATTACGATTTTAGAACGACACTGTTTCTTGTTTATATTTCTTTTAGTTTAAATCAATACAAGCAATAAAGACACATTTAATAAATTACAGTTTTACCTTTGCAAGAGCAATAACATTACAGTAAAACAAAAAGTTCACAAAGTTCAACAAGATTAGTTCGGCAAGTGTGATACCGCTGAACAACATCCCAAACTTTGATTACTTACAAACAACTTGTAATATATCTGCCACAATTTCACAAAGGATACTATAGAGACGTATTATTTTATAAAATAATAAAGTTCGATTGAAACAACAGGATGCTCAAGTAAAAATAACAAAGAGCATTTACTTAAAGTTTTTAATAGCAAAATTTTAAATATGAAAATTATTTCGAAAAATTTGAATGTCTGAAAATAACAGGCGCTGCAATATTTGTTTTTGAAGAACTATGACGATAAGTTAAGAATCACATATCAACGGTTGATGGTAGACTGTGTTACAGAAATCAAAGCACTACAGATTTCTCTTAAATAATTGCTGTATTAAAAAGTTCGGACGATCACGTTTGAAACAAACGCTAATGGAATAAGTTTTAAAGTAAATGTAAACGTAAAATTAATTTGATAATTATCTTAAGTGCTATAAAGTTTTCTCAATAAGAGTGACTTTGTTACTGTGAGTAGGAAAGTTTACTTTAGAATTCGTCTCATTTGATAAACTTCGGTGACAATTATTGGGAAGTAAGTCTGCAGAGCCATTCCGATAATTGTTTTTGTAATAAAGGGAAGAAACTTAATTATATTTACACATCTTTGCTACATAAGAGTCCTATTAATCTTCTAGATTTATATCTAGATGGATGGATGTTAGAGTTTGTAGCCTAAACTGTTAATGATTTCGATGACATGTTTTTTTTTATTCCAGGCGGATGGAGTCGTAGGCGAAAGTTAGTTATTTAATAAAAATACGAATAAAAGCAATGTCTCGTGTTCACGGAGCGTGCAGCGCGGAGCGGGCGGCGGCGCGGCGGCATGGAGCGCAGGAAAATCGCAACGAGCAAGCAGATGCATTTAATGACGCGCATTACTCCACAGATATTAGAGACCATTAGTTCATACTGTGGTTCCTTCATATTACTTACTGTTAAATTTATCTTAAGAACATGAATAATAGAATTAATTTATACTTATAATAACAATAAAAGCACAAAGATCTTTGTTAACTTTGCATTTCAGATGTGACATTTGCCGACAGTGTATTGGATTACATTGATATATGGTGTCTAAATTATTCAAAAAAATTATTAATTTTTTTTTCATACTCAAACACAAATCCATAATACTTTAAAATGTGAATAGAAGAATGTACGATTTAGAAACACTGTTTCTTTTGATTACAATTAAGTAATGTTTTTATTTTTGTTTTACTTTTCAATACGGAAGCAATTACTTAATGATTACATCGACATCATGAGCAGGAAGATCTAAATTTGAGCTATTAAGTAAACGACTCGCAACACAAGAATGATGAGCCCGTTAACGTTCAACGCTCAAGTTATTTATCTACGTTATTTTTCACTTTAAAAGCTACATATCAGAGAAAAGTTTTCTCCTCGTAAATGCTCCGGACACAAGAGTTTTTCTATGATTACGAGTATTTTTTGTCGGTATATCTTTATTTTTTAAAGCTCCATTAATGTGATGCCTGGAAACCAAATTCTGCTTTATTTTTCACTAGCTGTTGCCCGCGACTTCGTCCAAGTCATATTTAGATAATGAAATCAGCCTATAAGTAGTCTATGTGAGCTACCCTTCTATGAAAGTTCGGTCAAATTCAGCCCAGCCGTTTCGTAGGTTACCCGGAACAAACGCAGCTTGCGGGCAGACAGACAGACAAAAAAATTAAATGCGATTTTCCTTATCAGCAACACAAATCATCATCTTACCGAAATCTGGATTTTTTTTTTATATTACAAACAGACACTCAGATACATATAATATTTATAGATGTGAAGAATTTTATGTCGAAATATGCAGCAATATCAAAGTGCACAGAATGCAATTTAATAAGCGTAAAATTAATTTTACGCTAAAATACGCTATGAAGATATTCAAAGGAATTTCGTATCCCCGCAATGAATAGAGGTATTGTGATACATCTACCACCCACTTTGGAATTTACAACATGGATATGCTTTTAGTCTTTACACTAAGTTTATAGGAACTCAAATAAAACTTATCCAACTAAATAATCGTTAGAGAATTTATGTTTTATTTTATAAAAACTTACATACAACTTATATGTGATTTATTTTATTTATGACTAGCTTTTGCTCGCGACTTCGAAGGCGTGGGATTAAAAAAATTGTTAAAATACTCACTGATAATGTAGCTTTGGGGAAATAATTTTTGAAATCTGCCCAGTAGTTTTTGAGTTCAATACAAACTCTAATTAACTTGTTATCCATTTTATATCATGCAAAATTGTTCACCCAACTTGACAAGTTACAAGTAAAAGTATAATACAAAATTTAAACGTACCAGTTAAGTTTTGAAGCAAGAATTTTAAAAACAAAGGTCCACAATCTAAAGTAAAAGAAATTGAGAAAGTTCTTTAATTTCTACTTCGTTCGTTTTGAACTTTGATTGAACGCAACTTTCTTTTATTTAAGGAGACTTTTTTAATTAATCAAGGGATCGTAATGTTTATTAGCAACATCAATTTGCAGTTTTAGATAAATGAATCAGGAGTAAGTAATTTTATTGCTCTTTGAAAAGGTAAAACGTAAATATATTAAAAAAAATTGTAGAATCGATTGCTTATTTAGTGTTTTGTATAGAGTATCTCCCATATAAATATTTAGGCTCATATATGGTTTTAGTGAAATTAACTTCAATAACCGATTTTTTTTTATAACACAAGGTGGCAAACGAGCAAGCGGCCACCTGAATCCACTGAAATGGAAAGCGACCGCTGCCCATAAACATCCGCAATTGCAGATGCGTTGCCTCTCCTTAACTGACGGAGCAGGAGACGCACATAAAGAGGACGTTTCCCCTTTCTATGGATTTCCTCCACCGTCAAATCCACTTTTCCTTTCCATACTTTCCTCTGACGAAAAGGGTGAAAAGGGAAAGGGACTAAAAATAGGCCCCCGGTACTACACTCATCAGAAGATCGTGGAATTGCTTCCACTTCACGCCTGTTTTCTGTGTGGTGGTGGTATTTCACCGGGCGAGCCGACCTATTTGTGCGAAGATGTTAAAGCGGGCTCTACCACTGTTAAAGATAAGATGTAAAGGGTATAGTATATTTCGAATCACTCGTTTAATTCTAAACTTTTATAATGGTTTACTGTGATATTGTTAGTTTTGCTAAACAAAACTGTAACCATAATTCTCAGTCAATGATTATTTGGAAACATCACGACGTAAAACAAAATAATCCAATCCCAAAAGGCTACACTCGCAACGCATTTAGCAAACCTCTTCAGGAAAACCTATTACATGAACACTTGAATGAAATGAGAGTTTTGCTACGTTATTTATTTTTGCTACAAATGCTAGTAAGTATCTCTACTCTAGATTTGTTTACTAAAGTATATGTAGTTCAAAAAAAATTACAGATGGTAATACGGTACTATTAATTTATTTTTTTTAAACTTGTGAGAATAAATATTTAAAGAACAGAGAAATAACATTTCCATACATTCTCAAAACATATATATGTCGGAGGAAGTCGTTGAAGGAGTTGCTTGTTGATTGTATTATAACGCTTAACGTTCTCTTTATCATGTAAACACCTTTTGTAAATCTTAAGTTAATTTAATTACGAACTTCTATTTTGTTATAATGCCTAAAGCATATTTTTTGATAACAAATTTGTGATTATAGTCAAAATAGGAAGTTGTTAAGTAGCCATTGTCTAATGAATTACTGTTTACGAATTGTATGCAATATTTAATGTTTATTGAAATTGTAAAAGCTCCTAATAACTTTTAATTCGATTTTACTTTACTAGTTACGTTTTTCTTGGACTAAATAACATTGTAATCTCAAATTAAGTAAAGACCAATCAGAGCAGAGCACTTGGCTTGAGTGAGGTCTAGGCGCCATCTTTATAAGGCAGTTCGATAGTGTTTATGGGACCCTTTTTGAAATAGAAACGGATCGAGTTGGATCGTTTGTTCGTTGGTAGTGTTTAAAGATTGGTGCTTTGAACTCACTGCTCGGTCCTCGGAAGTTATAATTTCTCTGTAACTGTAATTAGACGTGTTCTGACTAAATTAAAATATTGTGAAAAACTATAGTCATCGTGTTTTGTGTTCGCACTTTACCCATGACGCCCACCAAGTCCACGACCACGGTTGATGATGATGTCATTGTCAACACTTCTCCGATATCAGAAGCGGGATCGGTGCCGGCACAAAATAAGGATCTACCGAGACCAGCAGACGACGGATGGCGCGCACTATTCGAGGCGCAGCAAACCAGCATGCGGCTGCTCGTGGAGGCGCTCACCAACCCACCAAAAAAGGAAGAGACGACCACCACGCTGCCTAAATTTGAACCGGAAACCGCAGACAGCGACGCACGAGCCTGGCTAGCAACGGCGGACATCTGCTTATCGGACTGCGATATACAGGGAAGTCAATTAGTTCTTATGCTTAGTAGAGCCATGAGAGGTTCAGCCGCGACATGGTTTTCCCAAATAGCTTTTCCTCATATGAAATGGACTGAATTTAAGGAAATTTTTCTTTCCCGCTTTGACACGCTTGAAACGTGTGCAGCGACGATACTAAACACTCTTAATAGTAAACCGCAAGAAAATGAAAGCCTCGCTGCATATGCGAGTCGTCTGTTTACGCTGCTTATGTCACGTTGGGATAGTTTAGGAAAAGAGGAGATAGTGGTATCGCTAATACTTGCACATATGGGGCAAATTGAGCCGCGATTACAACGTCACATATTTTCGGAAGAAATAACTACCCGCATTAAAATGCAACGAGAGCTGATGGCCTTTTCTTACCGCAAAAGGAATTACCAAGAGGCTGCGAAAACTATAACGAGCGCCGTGCATGATAACAAACGTCCTAGGTTAAGTTCCATATCGACCAAATGTTACTCTTGCGGAAAGTTTGAACATAAATCCTTTGAATGTTTCAGTCGACCGCAAGACAAGCAACAAAATACTCCGTTCTTCGAGCGCCCCAACACGGCCGTTCCTACGCGGACCTCTGTCACTTGTTTCAAGTGTGGTGTTGAGGGTCACGTGGCATCACGGTGCTCGAAGGCATTGCCAGTTGCAGGCAGCAGCTCCCAGCCTGCAGCAGCACCCTGTGTTGTTAAGAGAGTGGACATGTGCGATGTGAAACCTGTCACCGGAATAATCACTCAATTTGGTGAGCAATTTTCATTTTGTTTTGATTCCGGGGCTGATTGTTCTTTAATCAAAGAGAGCGTTTCTCGCAGGCTTGTTGGTGTATCACAACATGCAATTGTTACGTTGACCGGTGTAGGAAAATCTAGCGTATTATGCGACTCCCAGATCTTATGTAGAGTCACTCTTAGTGGTCATGACGTAGAAATTTTATTTCACATTATACCTGATGATTGCCTAAATAACGACGCCTTGATCGGACGCGACCTGTTGGCCTTAGGGTTATCTGTGCACATATCCAGCGATAAACTCACTATTGTTGAGAAACCCTCTCAAGTCAACATTTGTATCGTGGGTAGTCCGGTGGTCGATTTTGATGACATAGATACTGACGTGCCTGATAATCTTAAACCACAGTTAGTAAAAATTCTTAACAGTTTTAAAGACTCATTTGTTGAAGGTACACCTACTAGTAGAGTAAAGACAGGTGAACTAGAAATAAATTTAGTGGACCCCACCAAAATTGTCCAACGGCGGCCTTATCATCTCGGTCCCGAAGAACGAACCATAGTACGTAATAAGTGTAGTGAACTATTGTCTGCGGGAGTAATTAGACCAAGCAAGTCTCCTTTTGCTAGTCCGATACTTTTAGTAAAAAAGCGAGATGGCACTGACCGAATGTGCGTAGATTACCGAGAACTAAATTCCAATACGGTTCCTGACCGGTATCCCCTGCCTCTAATTGGTGATCAAGTTCAGAGACTCGCAGGTGCGCGATTTTACACGTGTCTCGACATGGCGAGTGGGTTCTATCAAGTGCCTATAAATGTAGAGTCGAATTCAATTGAAAAAACAGCTTTTATTACCCCTGATGCTCATTATGAGTTTACTGCTATGCCATTTGGCCTCAGAAATGCCCCATCGGTGTATCAGAGAGCCATTAATACAGCACTAGGTGACCTAGCGCACTCTTACGCAATCGTTTACATGGACGATCTGATTATACCTGCTCATAGTATAGAGCAAGGTTTAGAGCGGCTACAGGTAGTGCTAAAAACACTCATTGATGCTGGATTTTCATTCAATTTAAAGAAATGTGCCTTTTTAAAGAAACAGGTCCAGTTTTTAGGGTATGAAATAGCAGAGGGTGAAATCAAACCCAATCCTCGCAAAATAACCGCGTTGACTAACTCCCAACCGCCGCAAACTATTAGTCAACTAAGACAGTTTCTAGGCTTAGCATCTTATTTTAGGCAGTTTGTCCATAACTTTTCACTTAAGATGGCACCACTCTACCGTTTGCTAGCCAACAATAATACAAAAATAACTTGGACCACAGAGTGCGAAACAATTCGGCAAGACATAATATCAACGCTGACTTCATCCCCGGTTTTGATGCTTTTTAATCCGGAGTTGGCCATAGAGCTACATACGGATGCGAGTAGTGAAGGATACGGCGCGATTCTCTTCCAAAGAGTCGACTCAAAATTACACCCGGTAGAGTACTATAGTAAGCGCACTACACCCGTAGAGTCTCGATACCACTCTTATGAGTTGGAGACACTAGCAGTTGTTAACTCCGTGAAGCACTTTCGTCATTATTTGTATGGCAGAAATTTTACGGTCGTTTCCGATTGCAATTCTCTGAAAGCGTCGAGAACCAAAGTAGACTTAACCCCTAGAGTACATCGGTGGTGGGCCTTTCTCCAAGCCTTTGATTTTGACATACAATATAGAGAAGGCAGGAGAATGGCCCACGTCGACTTTTTCTCGAGAAATCATTTACCCGACACAAACAACATTACCGCCGGTAAAACTCCTATTTTAAGTAAAGAAAATTGCGTAGTAGAAAAACGCGTCAATATTGCTGAGCTATCTTCTAATTGGTTACAAGCGGAACAACGGCGAGACCCGGAATGTAATGAAATAATTAGTAAATTTGAAAGCGACGATTTGGACTTGGAGAGTTGTAAAATCTACGAAATGCGATCGAATGTTCTCTACAGAAAAATTCAAAGGAACAATCGCAATATTTGGCTTCCAATTGTACCTAGAGCGTTTCGTTGGTCGGTTATAAATCATATTCACGAATCTATTCTTCATTTAGGATGGGATAAAACGTTAGAAAAAACATACCAACATTATTGGTTTCCAAATATGGCTAAATATGTCAGAAAATTCGTTGAAAATTGCATAACATGTAAAGTAGCTAAATCACGAAGTGGTAAACAACAGATAGAGTTACATCCTATACCGAAAGTTAATATACCTTGGCACACAATCCACATTGACGCCACTGGTAAGCTCAGTGGCAAGAACGACCAAAAAGAATACGTTTTTGTCCTGGTAGACGCTTTTACTAAGTATGTGTTACTCAGGCATTCTACTAGAATCGACACCGATAGTGCGATCAGCGCTCTTAAAACGTCCATATACCTCTTCGGGACCCCTGTCCGGGTCATCGCGGATCAAGGCAGGTGTTTTGCGAACAAAAATTTTAAGGATTTTTGCGCTAGTCACAATATCCAACTACACTTAATAGCAACAGGCTCTTGCCGCGCGAATGGCCAAGTAGAGCGCATAATGAGTACACTCAAAAACATGCTAACAGTCGTAGAAACAAGCCCAAGTAAGTCATGGCAGGACGCTTTAGATGATGTCCAACTCTCTATAAACAGCACTATTCATAGAGTTACTAAAGCAAGCCCTCTAGAATTGTTAATAGGTAGAGTAGCTAGACCGTTAAACTTGTTAACAGTAGACGATAATGAGATTGAGGTAGACGTAGAAGAGGTTAGGGAACAAGCCGTAAGGCTTATAAAAACAAACGCATGTCTTGATAAAGAACGGTTTGATAAAAACAAGGCAAAAGTCACATCGTTTTCTGTGGGGGATTACGTTTTAATAGAAAATCACGAACGGAATCAAACAAAATTAGATGCTAAATATAAAGGACCCTTCGAGGTAATTGAAATACTAGACGGTAACAGGTATCATCTCAAAAGTTTAAATTGTAATCGCACTTACAAATACGCAAGAGACCGCTTACGTCCACTTCCCCAATCTTATGTCCCAACCGAGCTGGATCCGTGTCTCTCGGATGACTGTGATGGTAAGATTTTCGTATATCTTCTACGTTAATGACTGATGAGTGTACTGTAGTGTGATTAAGCGTTCTAATTTTATCTAAAGATTAAGCACCAAGTAGATGGTTAAAGTTTGACGTAGTTTTGTTAGAGGCGAGGTGGCCATTGAAAGTGAAAGTAGTTAAGGGCGAGGTGGCCAATGAAACTAAAACTATTGAAATTAAGGCGAGGTGGCCGTTGCAAGAAATAAGTTAAGGCGAGGTGGCCATATGGATGTTAAAGTTATTATTAATCATCACTTCGATTATTAAGGTTTTGATATGTTACTTTAGTCAGGAGTGGCCGAACTATAACAACCTAACTATCTTATTATTTCAGATAACGATGTTGCGCGGCCTTCAACATCACACGAGGGCGTGTGATATGTCAGGACGGCCGTGTCGGAGGAAGTCGTTGAAGGAGTTGCTTGTTGATTGTATTATAACGCTTAACGTTCTCTTTATCATGTAAACACCTTTTGTAAATCTTAAGTTAATTTAATTACGAACTTCTATTTTGTTATAATGCCTAAAGCATATTTTTTGATAACAAATTTGTGATTATAGTCAAAATAGGAAGTTGTTAAGTAGCCATTGTCTAATGAATTACTGTTTACGAATTGTATGCAATATTTAATGTTTATTGAAATTGTAAAAGCTCCTAATAACTTTTAATTCGATTTTACTTTACTAGTTACGTTTTTCTTGGACTAAATAACATTGTAATCTCAAATTAAGTAAAGACCAATCAGAGCAGAGCACTTGGCTTGAGTGAGGTCTAGGCGCCATCTTTATAAGGCAGTTCGATAGTGTTTATGGGACCCTTTTTGAAATAGAAACGGATCGAGTTGGATCGTTTGTTCGTTGGTAGTGTTTAAAGATTGGTGCTTTGAACTCACTGCTCGGTCCTCGGAAGTTATAATTTCTCTGTAACTGTAATTAGACGTGTTCTGACTAAATTAAAATATTGTGAAAAACTATAGTCATCGTGTTTTGTGTTCGCACTTTACCCATGACGCCCACCAAGTCCACGACCACGGTTGATGATGATGTCATTGTCAACACTTCTCCGATATATATAACATCTGGTGACTTGAAAATGAATATTAATCTGTTTTCGTTTAGCTTTAGCAAACCTATCAATATAACTACTAACTATTTTACTGCCAAAAACACTCGTATAAAATCGTATGGCTGTCCTTATCGTTCACTTTATAAAAATCGCGACAGCAATATATTGTTACACGAGTATAACGTGTAGTGTAAATTCACGGTGTCCCTAGTCGAGTGACATTAACAGGGTTATATTTACGTCGTCGGGTTTTATGATTTTCGCATGAAGTGATTTCACGATCTTGTGCCTTAGTTAATTTCAGTTCGTTAACATTATTAACTTCTTACCTTAATTATTATGGAGGCTTATTAATGAAACTAGACAAGAGTTATGATATAAAGTTTGTTTCAAAAGGAGCTAGCTTGTGTGCGTATATGTTCGGGAGTTTGTGTTTTATTTTCGTAGTGAATAAGGCAGATAATCTTTTGTGAACATGGTTTTTTTAAAACCTACGGTTTTTCAGACTGAAGACAGAAGTAATATTTATGTTTAATTATAAAAAGAAATCTTTGCACAAACTTGACATTCGAATGAACATGAATAAATTAGATGACAAAATTGAAAGTTTAGTACAGTTTTAAAATGGCTAGGTCACTTAATAGTGAGAAAGTAACATCAAAGTATTTTAGTTTATAAAATAACTGAAGAATAAATAATTATTGATTACTTTTTTTTCAAGATAACATATGTATTTTACGTTATATATTTTCTTTTGTTAACCTATTAAATATCTGTATTTATTATGAAAGGGTTGTTTTCGAAGTTATCTCAAAGCGGACAGTCGAAGTGCTCATGGGAATTCAATAGCTGAAACACGGAAAGGCACATACCTTAACAAATTTCACAATTAATTAGACAAAAACTATCCAGTGCCTCTTAAGAATACAGTTATCATAAAAAGATTAAGAAAACATCGAAAATACTAAGCTATGAATCAATTCGTGGGCAATGAATGCAAAATAATTTTACGAGTCATTCTGTGCTTTTTTATTACTGTTTTTATGTAGAAATTTGAAATTAATAATAAGCTTTAATTTATCATTTCAATTCACTTAAATTTCTTTGAGTGAATTGAAACTCGTTGTTAATCGAAACCTGAAATTTAAGTGCAGGTTTTAATTACTTTTGATATAAAGTTCATCTCTGGTATCGATATTTCGTAATAAGAAATTTTTCACTCGGATTGAGGGTTGATAGAATAAATGATTGAAGACATTTTATACTAAAATAGGAATATTGGACAATAATATTGAGTTATTAGCAGGTATATTTTTAAAAAATCTTAACTATTATATAAAACAACTCAAAAAACCTTAAAAAAAGTTAGGATTACCTTCTCCACGTAAATTTCTTCTTCACTAAAATGTTTTGAAATCATATTTAAAGCGACAAGATTTTTAATAAATCTTAATAAGAATGGTTTTCTATATTTATTTACAGCAATGTTTATTTAAACACAAGTCAGTTAAAAAAGTCACGTTCGCTTAACATTTAAAAGCGTAATGGTGATCCGGACATTGCCTTCTTTAGTCGTATCATGTTAAATTTATTACCTTCATTTGCTCCAAGTCACGTAAATTTTATAGCGAGAAAGTATCGACTTGTAGTACTTAAGTATTTTTAAAGTCGATGTTTTTACAGAATTAGTGATGAGAGGGAATTCGTCGACGTTGTTTTGATAAGTTTTCACTTGTTTAACATGTTTAGTTTCGTTTTACTTGAATTACTTTAATACCTTTTTAGAAAACCTTTGTACAGTTTACCTTATAACTTTAAAAATATACTGATAGGTAAATGCCTTATTCCTTAGATGTATTCATAGAAAGAATTTTACATCAACGTACATTTTCAATTCCTTTTCCACTTTCTATCCATGTTAGAAACACTTAGTAATAAATCAACCAGACTTATCCTAAGATTAAAGTGTTTTATTGAGGATAAGGAAACAGAAGAAACGTGTATTTTTTTCATTGAATAGTATCTTAGTATGAATTATTAAATCAAATCAAAATGAATATTGCATTCCTGCTTAAATATTATATATTCTGCTCCATTTAAACCTAAGGAACTATAAAGACGAGGATAAAACGTAAATTTTAATTTTCTTTAAATCTCCCGCGAGTTTAAACATTTATTTAGATTTTTTTTTATATTATAAGGTGGCAAGCGAGCAAGCGGCAATCGCAACACCCGCAATTGCAGATGCGTTGCCTACCCTTAATTAACGGAGGAGGACACGCACATAAAGAGGACATTTACCCTTTCTATGCGTCTCTTCCAACGTCAATTCCACTTTTCCTTCCCATCCTTTCTTCTTAAGAAAAGAGTGGAAAGGGAAAGGACTAAAATTGGGCCTACGGCACCACTCTCCTCAGACGAAACGCGAAATTACTTCCACTTCACGCCTGTTTTCTGTGTGGTCGTGACAAAAATATAAGCCAGTAAGATAATAAACTCAAAGAATCCTACATTAAACCCATATATCGTAATGTTATATTAGCATTAAAAACCTATATACGTGTTTTTTTAATACATTATCGAGATCGACATGACCTTTCAAAGACGTCTCATCTCAACGTACTCGTAGTCACGTCCTCGACACGTTTGCTTTTGAAAATGAGTTTTCTGTTTGATGTTATGAGAACGTGCAATTGCGTTTTTGATTATTTTACGCTTACAACCAAGCGATTCCTACACACAAGGTAAACATTAATACCTCGCACGGTACTTAAACAGTCCTATTCGAAGTTCATAAGTAGGTAATACTTAAGTAGATAAATTTTTGAAATAATTTCTTGTTGCTTTATAACACAAAGTATTCGATAACAGCGATTATGTAACACATTGTATGCCACTTCACATAAATCGTCTATTATACTTGTTGGACCGGCTCTTCGGAAACCCTCGTAAATTTAGGTGGCGTTTCTAAATATTGGGAAGATCGTACAAACTCGGCTGAGATTCAATATAGATTGCAAAAGTATCACTGAGGGTGCCTATAAAATGTAATGGATGACATCGACTCGCTGTTTACATGTAAATTTACATATATCGTGATTTAAAATCAACTTTTCTTATAGTAAGAAATACATTCAGAATTTACATAAGATGCATTAATAAATTGAAATTCAATTAAATTTATAACACTCGTTAGTATATTATTATTTTGCTTTTCGACGGAAATAACTACAGATATACCGAGTTAACATAACATCTATTTAAGTGCGTCAGTATTTGGTTGACAACACTTAACGTTAGCACGCACCTCGTAAAACCTAATGGAATATAACAGAGTGAGAACGAACCTTTTCAAAAGATAAGCTAATGTCATTCTCAGTTGATATTAACCTATCATGTTATGGAAATAAATTCTATAACCTTCTCTTATTGTTATGGATACGCCAAGTACTGATTATCTTCATATCACTGCTTATTATGGCTTTATTTAAGTTAATTATTTACTTCTTATTAGGCGAAAATGGTTTTTATATGTTTAAGAAAAAAAATAGAAAATAAGATTATGTAACTTTAGTAAAAAGTATACAGCCTCATCTAAAATATTTCTATATTTATTTTTGATCGACTTCCCAAAAGAAGGAGGTACTCTATTCGTCTGTATGTTTTTTTATTTTTAATTTAAACACACATCATACTAAAATAAGAGTACTCAGGAGGCCTTCAACTTATCCGATAGATTTTATCAAAGCTGAAGGCTTAATGTCAAGTGAAGTAGAATATATTGTCTCATCCACTTACACTATATATAAGTATCTTATGTCTTACTAATATTAAAAATGCGAAAGTTTAGATGGATGTTTGTTAGAGTTTGTAGCCTAAACGGCTGAACGGATCTCCATGAAATTTGGCACAGATGTAGAGTATGGTGTGGAAGATCACATAGGCTACTTAGTTTTTTTCAATTCCACGCGGACAGTATCACTGGCGAAAGCTAGTATTAGATAAAGAAACTATACTGTATACTGTACTGTACTGTACTGTACTGTATTGTAGTGTACTGTACTGTACTGTACTGTACTGTACTGTACTGTTTTTGACCTTTCTCTCTTTTAACAAGCCCAAAATTTGAGCCCTAATATAACAGTATTAAAACAGTTATGCAATTAAATGATATTTAGATTCTAATTAGTTATACTTGTTACAATATAGTTGATGTTATGGCGACCAAGACGTCAAGGTCGCTCCGGCGATCCTAGAAGTAACCGCTTGATACACGCGAGCCATTACCATTATTGAAACTTTAGCCGTGGCCTCCGCGCACGCTTTTACCTCGGTAAAGCTATTACGGGCCTGAGTAGCTTCTATTATTGCCCCGTTCACAATGTAAATATGACAAGTAACATTTTTAATTTAATTTTAAACCTAAGGAACGTTAGTTTATGGAACGTTAGTAACGTTAGTTAAAAAATGGTTTAAAGTTATTGTTGTTGAAGGATTTATTTTTTGACCTAATTCATCTGTGATGCAGTACAAATGGATTGTATATGCAAAACGTATATAAACATGATTATCTTTAGTCTTAACTTATTCAAAGTCGAATCGAAACGCGAAGCCACAATATTAATGGAAAATTCATATAAATTATTTATGTGAGGTGCTTTTGTATAATTTTCAGTAATATGCAAGGCACGAACTTTGTCAGGAAATTTTTAATTTTGTTATTTGTTCAACATACGAAAGCGTGTTCGTAAAAATATTCGTTTCGAAACTACAACAT